TTTTTTTTAATGAACATAGAATCATAGAATCATTTAGGTTGGGAAAGACCTAAGGATCATTGAGGCAAACCATTAATCCAGCACTGCCAAATCCACCACTAAACCATGTCCCTAAATGACCCATCTACATGCCTTCTTGATRCCTCCAGGGATGGTGACTSAGCCACTTCCCTGGGCAGCCTGTTCCAAWGCTTGACTTGAAAGAAGAAAACAAACAAACCAGCCAAGCTTCAGAGGATCCCTTACATATCCTTAATTATTTATGATCAGGAAGCAACCTTCCTCSAGTAGAAAACTCTTAGGAATTGACAAATCTATTAATACCTTTAGAAATTTTCAAAGAGCTAATTGATAACAGTTTGTAAATGTCAGTCATCTTTTAAGGGATGCTTTAAGTCAGTCTATGACCTTCAGTTGCCTCGTGATACTAAAAATTAAACATACTGAAGACAATGCAGTGTGCAATTAAYACAGGCTTATGAGACAGGTCTCATGCTCTAAGCAAATAGTTTACTGTCTTCCTACCAAAAGGAAAATTCTCTCCCCTGATGTCAGTTAACTCACTGTTTTTAAGAAACAGCATATTTGAAGTATGAAGATTGTTTTAAAATTTAATTTTCACATTGATTAGTCAAATACATGTTCACAAAGTGTATGTCTGTATAAAATTCAAGCAAAATTGAAGGCATTTCCACAATGATCACATTAGACACTTACTCAAGGAATCTCATAGTGGACAAAAGTTTCATACATTTTCCTCCCTCAATGACTCTTTTATCGGCAGCAATATAGCTTCTAATTGTCAAATATRATGCCTGCTCCCATTATTAAGCAAGAAACTTGCTCTCAATTTTACCAGTTTCTTTGCCTTGCTGACACCTAGTGACCAGACCAGCTCATGYGAGTTGAGAAGTCAAAATTCTTTTAAGCCCTTATTCTTCCAAAGCACAGTCTRATTTCAAATATTTTCTATCTTTATGTACTTTGTGTGCGTCTCACATGTTCTTTCTAGCTTAAGATCCTAAAGAACTAATGCTTATAAATAATTCAGGACAACAAATTGCCTCCTTCCTTCCTACCTTGCTTTTGGTAGACTTGACCAAAGATGAAAAGTCCTAGCTTATGTTAACATACTGATATTGGCTGTTTCTTCAGAATACTTGTCATCAAAACAGCACATAAGATCAAAGACACTGAGAACATGGTATAATGCTGACAGAAACTAAGCATTGTTAATTCTGWGTCYTAGAGAGCAATGCTCCCTTTTMTATAAAGCCTGTGCTATTTCCTGARCTGGACCTTCAGCRCCTGCAATTCAGTTYTCATTCCACTGAAAGCTGAATRTTRATAYATTAATRAATTTAACTATGTTAAATGCAACATCAATTTCACTTSTTGAATGACTTAAGGTAACCTCACTGATACGCATATAGAAGAAAGAAAGAAAAATGAACTTTTCACTTAAACACATGACACAGCGTATAATGCTGCTCTTCTAATGTGCCAGCCCAATAAAGTACATCATGATGCTTTGAATATGAAGTGTGTGTATAGAGATCATCCATGCCTTACCTCTGCAGAAGATCTAGAGAGGATTTTTTCAGTACTTCATGYTCTTCAGCAACTGCCTGCAATTTCCTGTTGTGTTGAAAGAGYTGTTCAATATCAGTCCGTGCTCTTTCAGATTCTACCTGTAGAGCTTTCAGCAAATCGTTAAGCTCTTCATTTTTTCGTTCTGCATCCTTCAGCATTGCAGCAAGAGTTCTTGCCTTTAGACACCCCCCAAATAAAAAGAAARGAAAAAGCMACATACACTGTTAAAGRGAATTCTGTTTYACAAGTTGTATTMGGCATGCATGASKMCATAGATCTAACACCAAAAYGTCATCATCTACATTGAGAGAACAAATTCTCTCACCTAATATTAACTACAAATTAATTTGTTCACTGAATTCCCTTAGCTCTATTTATAGACCATGTGAGGGAAGAACAAAGATGATACATTTTAGCTACGGATTTAGTAATCTGTAGCCCAATCTTTAATATAAYCTTTAAAGAATATAAACTATTCTCACTTTTCAATATGCAGCTCAAATACATACCCCACAGAGGCRAGCTTTATTTGAAAGCTCACCTCTGACAATCAAAAGGCACAAACAGGAAACAGTTCTTCATACACCAGCAAATTCTGTAGAGAATTCTAGTAASTGGATTTATTAATTTTTAATATTACTAAATTAAGACTAATGGTTAACAAAAGATAATGAGCACAGTAGGCTGGTTTTTTTGACTTCCTGTAAGGGAAAAGACATTAAAGAAAACTGTGCCAAAGAACAATCCAGAGGAAAACAGGATGTTCATGAGGAAAATTAAGACTTGCAAGCACAGCTTACAGATAAGGAGTATAGTTTCCACATGCCATCACAGTTCAAGCTACCCAGACAATCATTCYTCAGTCCCACCTCGAAGCCCCACTACTTACCTCAGACTCAGCCTGGGCTCTCTGACACCGGTACTGAGCCATCAGCCTCTCAGCTTGAGCTAGAGCTACTGTCTTTACTTCCAGAAGATCCTGCAGCCTCATTTCTTTAGACTGTACATAGGCAGAACATTTCTCATTAACATTTTCTGCAAGTACCAACTGCAACATCCCAGTGTGTGTTAGGTTGTACTCACTGCTAATGCCGACAGCTTCTGCTCGTAGACATCCATTATGTCAGATACCCTCACATCAGCCAAAGGCTCCTTCATCTGTGGAAATGTTTTCCAATTACAGTTACTGRAAATTTGTATTTACTTACACAGCTAACGGGTGCCGAAACAGCTCAATAGTTTTGTGAACTCCACCTGCCCACGATCTTTTTGAATTCTCATTTTTGAGGCTGTCTACTCAAAAATATCCACCCGACTCTTGTGGAAAGTTTGTGAGCAATTGAACTGGTTAGGCTTAATAAGACTATTAGTCTGTCACTATAAAAAAGTAAAATCATCACTCTAAAATTATTCCCCTTGGTCTAATATTTGCTASAGAATTAGCAGTCACCTCATAGGACACCTAAAGTAATCTGCCCTAACATTAACAGCACAAAGTGCATATGGTTAAAACTGCTTCATACTCTGTAGCCTTCTCAATACACAAATTAACAGAAAAGGCTGAGGAAAGTTACTCTGAAAGGATACTATCAAGGGCAGAACCTACTGTGTACAAACAGTGGCTTACTAGAGKAAATGCACCATATATGGCACAAGTCTTGGGTGTTTAATAAAGTATATGCCCAACCAAGTCAAGCGAGAATGCTCCTTACTGATTGCAGGATATTTTCTCTTAGGCCATTCTGCTGTAACACCAGCTCTGAGCAGCTGTTCATAGATGCTGATGCATGGCCAAGKGCAAACTATGTCAGATGTTCATACATTGAACACCAGAAAAGCCACCATTTCTGCACTGTCTTGAACCACTACCTAAGAATGTTTTTTGCAAATTAACAGGAAACCCTGTGTAGCTCCAGTTCTCCACTATTTTTTCCATCTCTAAAGCATGAAACAAGTAGTTTGTTTTCTTACTTGCAAATTTAAAATATCTGCAAGGTCACAGAAATGACTACTAAAGGAAAGATCTAAGTTCCCTTCATTCTCTCTGTACAGTAATACTATAAAATTCTCATTTATGTTTTTACAAGCATTTGAGCTTCACACAATATACACAGAAAAATGTGGATGTGCATATTGATTTTTAATTACTAATTAAAATGATTAAGAAAAGAATCACTCAACAATTCATCAAAAACTTTCTCCCCTAAAAAAAAAAATTTGTAGCAGCTTTACAATCTGTCAAAAAAAATTTGAAGCAGCTTTATAATCTGTCAGGAAGCTGCTGCACTAATGCTGTGTAGGCACCTGTGGCTGCTTTCACTTACATTAATATAAACACAGCAATGCACCCAACAGATTGTCACATGCAGTCCTGAAAAGGAYGATCAATGGGAGCATCCAGTGACAGAGTAAAAAGCAAGCCAAGGAAGACTCACCTGACCTTTTCCACTATTATTCTGGCAGCTGACTGGAACTGGTAGCTCTTTGAGTGTCACTTTTATCAGTTACAACAAAGAGATGAGAGTTGCAAAGCTAAGGCTGGAGGCAATGCCACTAATACAGTTATCAAGCTGTTATCAAGAAACTTTCTATTCCTTTCCCTAATTTTTATACTGTTCTTTTAAGCCAAAAGAAAATAGAATCAACAATCCATCACTCAATATAGGGCAGCTACAAAGCAGCTAACTTGTTTTGAACAGAAAAGAGAAAGAGATATATTCAGTATCTGCCAGGATGGCCAACAAAGCAGCAATATGTGGTGTCTGGTTGAATGTTTCATTCATGACACAAATTGCTGCAGAGTGAAGTAAAAACTGTCTTCTGGAATAATAAAAGCACCTTTCCAAGGCCACAAAAACTGAACTGCAAAGCTAGAGTCAGCTACAGCCAACAAAAAGAAAATGTCAGTGTGCATATTTAGGTACACAGGAGATGCACCACACTTCTAAAGCACCACAGCATGTTTCATTGCAGGTTATTTCTTAGGAAGCAGAGGGAGGAGGTTCCCTGTATGTGTCCCAGCAAGTCTAGGCAGTTAGATGYACTTGCCTCCAGCCTCCCCATCTGACAGCTGAGATGACTGTGGCAATCCCCYTGAGAGGGACTTCAACAAGGAGCCCTGCTTTCTGGTGTAGCTCAACATAACATCTCTGAATTCTGCTCAGGAGCTCAGCAAAAGGAGCATGTTCCAAACAGACAGGAATCTAAACCAAACTCAACTGTTACTCACATGATAGACTGACACTTKGATTTTAATTTCCATCCCTCCCAGTACAAAAAGCATCAAATATTTCACAAGGGCATACAAATTCTACTAACCTCTAGTCCAGAATGAAGTTTTTGTATYAATTCCTCAATATTAGAAGCTTTGGACTCATTACTTGAAGGACAGGATGAAGAACATCTCACTGAAGTGGTGCTGGTCACAGGTGACTGCATTTGGATTCTCTTTGCAGTGTGCTGCATTTTTTGTTGTCTGTAGGCATTATTTGCTGCAATGCTTTCACCCAGCCTGTATAAACAGGAGGCTATTAATGACACRACCTGCCAYAAATATCATTGCAAGAATTGAAGAGGAGAACAATTYMATAACAAAATTTACAGTCACATTTGCATTACCACAGAATACAAAGATGTGTATTGGGCGTGAGCCCAAACTGGCCAGAGACACAGAAAAAAAGGGAAAACAATAGCATGGCTAACCTTCAGAGACAAATACAGAATCTCATCAGAAAGGGCACGGTGCTCAGCTCTTTTTGGGTAGAGATCATGTCTTTTATGAACCTGTGAAACAGGGTATTTCACCTGTTACTACTCAACTGAACCAGGCCACTGTTTGTCTCAAAGGAGACTGAGTAAGTATTTAGTAAGTATTTTTACTGGGCATAAAAATAAGACTAAATCAAGAAAAGACAGAGTGCTACCAATAAACTCAGTTTTTCCTTGTCTGCAGTCCTATTTTACAACACTGTATTGTGKACAGCACATCTAATTTTCTAAGATTTAATAAAAATTTAAGTATGTAGATAAAAGTGCAACCTGTTTAAATTTGTGTAGGGAAGAGAACATAAAAGCTTAGAAAAAGAATAATTGCAGCACCTATATTCCAGTGTCTCTATGTAATTTGTGGTTGGTATTTTCAATGCAGGTACAATAACATGTTTCAAATAAGAATGACAAATCAAAAGAACTGATTTTAGAGGCACCAGTTATAAWTTTTTTCCTCTTGATAAATTCCTTAATTACTAAACTATCCCAACCACTTCACTGAAGTGTTGTCTCAATTGCTTCCTAAGTGAGCAAAGCCTATTTTTAAGTTGCTATAGACATGTTATTTGGCTACTCCACTGTACAATTCCAGACATATTTGATTGTACATTCATTCTTTCAGCTAGACTATTCATTACCGGCCATTATAAAAATGTTTCTTCTATCCACAAACCCAGATAATTATAGAATAATCAAAGTTGATAGGGACCCATCTACWGACCACCTAGTTCAACTCTTGCTCTTAGCAGGCTGCCCAGGACTATGCCCTGCATTTTTGACTTTTTCAAAGGATGAAGACTYCACAAYTTYTCTGGGCAACGTTTTCTAYTCTGACCTCCCCTYAGAGTAAAAGAATTTCTTTTTGATGTTTAAAGAAATCGAAAAGTTTTTTCCTGTATTTCAGTTTGTGCCTACCTTCTRTCCTGTCAATAGATACCACTGGCTCCATCTCCTTTGTTCCTTTCTATCASACATTTCAACATGCTGATAAGAACCCCACAAGTCTTCTCAAAAGTAAACAAGCTCAGCTCTTGCATCTCACCTTGTCTAACACATGCTCATCCCTTCAATATCTGATTGGCCCTACACTAGACTCACTCTAGTATGTCCCTATCTCTCTTGCATGGATGGAGAGCCCAGGCCTGGATACAACATTCCAGGTGTGGTTTTACCACAGCTGAGCAGAGGGGAATGATCACCWCCTTGGTCCTGTCATCAGTACTCTTCCAAGTGCAGTCCAGGGTGCTATTGATCATCTTTGTCATTCTTGAAGACAGAAGTTACATTTGCTTTCGTCTAGTCTTCAGGAACTTCTCCCAATCACCATGACTTTTCAAAGACATTCTGGAGTGGCCTTGGAATGACATCAGGCAACTCCCTAAGCACTCAAGGGTACATCCTGTCAGGTCTTATGGATTTCTGTATATCCAGTCAGTTTWCATGTTCCATAAACTGACCCTGTGCCAGCCAGAGTAAGTCTCGCTTCCTCTAGGCTTTCCCACTACTCTAAGGGACATAAGATTCCCAAAGGCAAAGAATATCTGTGAAGACCAAGTAAGACATTCAGTATGCCAACCTTTTCCATATCCTTTGTCAACAGGTCCCCTGCCCCATTCAGCAGAAAGGCACCATTTTCCCAGTCTGGCTTTTGCTGTTGATATACTGGTCTTTCTTGTTGCTCTTGACATCTGTGAGGTTCAACTCCAGGTTATGACACAACTTAAATTTTTTTTTTGTATTTTATTACATCTACAGAAATAAGGACTCTATCAAACAGAATYTTTCAATACTTTTTTCCTTGTTTAAACCACCTTAAATACTACCTGAACTACCATCTGCCTGTGTCYTATCCTAATCTGTTCTTTCTTGGAAGCTAATGCAAAGGGGTGAGCAGAGCTTTAGAAACTCAAGAACGACATGTCTGACAGTTCAGTAGAGAGAAATCTGAYAGTCAGAATATTAGATGCACCCTAAATTCCAAGCACAGAATTCAGACAAATGAGCACTTAGGGACAGGAGTCAATCACTCCTATGGTCTCTAGGTTCTGCCATAAAATGAATGTCAGATCAGCCATCAGCATTGGGATGGCTTCCTCTGGCCTCCAGCATCACTACTGTCTCATGAGTGCACTTAAAGAAGAAACAAGACAGTTTTTTCTAAGTTTCTGTCTCTGATGAGCTGAAAATAGTACTCCAAAACACATGAATAGCACTAAGCCCATAAAAAAAATGTCAAATCTAATCAGAGTTACATAAAGTACCACAAAACTACTTACACTATTGCAGGAAAATCTGGTAAGGGTGCAGCCTCAAACAGTATTTTAAGTCCCACTTGGACTTGCTCTCCATGGTTYGATGTTAAAGCAAATGTCAAAGGCGTAATCAAGCGTTGATCCTAAGAAAGAAAATAGTTTGGTCAAAACAAGATACAGCAGCCAACAACAACAAAAAAACCCAACCAAACACAAACTACCAAAACATCACAATATCAATGCCCATGAGCACAGATGTGTTTTATTCAAAATTTAAGTTACCTTCTTAAAGTTTGCCCTTCTAAGTTTCTGAGCCTGAAGTTAACAAGTGATTTAAAAAATAATCTACACTGCTATTTAAAAAACATAATTTCCCATTAAAGCCAGCACAGAGGTAAAGAGACTAGTTAATTCCTGCAAGTTTTCAAGTGTTTGATATTCAGCATGAAAGGTCATGAGCTGAGGTTTTATAAAGATTTATTGGGGACTGTAAAACTCATTGCTACCCATTAAATAACACAATTCCCATTCTAGAATGAGAAATCTCCAAACCAGCAAGAAGTGTTTGACYGTCTGCTTTTCCATATATAAAGCAAATTACTATGGTGTCATCTGACCACTAGATAGCAGAAACTGTTTTGGTCATGCAAAGCTCCAAATAAGATGTACATATTTAATAGTAACCAACCCAACAATTAATTAYATTGTTGTGGCAATTGCTTTCTTCTTTACTACCTCTAAACTGCAGTCATAAAGCAGTCTTAGAAGGATAATTCTTAGAAGGCATGAAAGCATGATTGCAGATGCACTACTAAAACAAATGACTGGAGTAAAAGCAAACTACTCTTATTTTAGAAGCGCTACCAGCAAAATAACTTTTAAGAATCATACACAAGGAACTGTATTTCCTAGAAGCTTTACCATTTCAGAAATAAGCATGCAAAACATTTAGAGCTAAAACTGCTGTAGTGCAGTGACATTTTATTTCACAGATACAATTCATAAAACCATTTAAAGTCATACCTGCAACATTTTGTAGAAGCTGACCTTCATACCAGGTACATCCTGCTGCAATCTGCTCATAAGATCAAGTGTTTTCAAAATAATATCAGCAGCAAGTTTGCTTTTAAACATCCAAGTAGAAAAGGAAATTGGGTGGGGGAAGAAAAAAAAGGTGAGATTTGTCAAATCAGCACTGAAAAATTCAGTCAATTAAAAAAAATTAATAAATACCTTCACAAAGAAATTAAATATGTCTACCAAGGATAAAACATGCTAAAATCAAAGAGATCATATTGAGTTTCTTGGAYGTGTGCCTGACCTTCTCCAGCATGCCAAGCATGGCAATGACGACTAAAAAAAACCATTTCCAGGCTGAAAATGAGGAGGGTTTAATTATAGATCCAATTATATTTCACTGGGTTTTGGCCATGTTGCTTAGCAATATTGCCATTTGGGTTAATAATGTTGAGTTGAAGGAACGTATATTTCATTTTCAGTGCAACAATTGCCCCCATACTGAYGTGTGATATTTTTGACCTCTGACTGCAAAAAAATCAAAATGAGAAATTATGTGCCAGGAGCAGTTCTGGTAAACTTCAACTTGGATCAGCTTRAACTACTTGCCTGAGGTTTAAGGTCACTGTTCCACACAAGTGGATCTCCAGCTTATGCCAGAAACATCTGAATGTACAAGCTAGGCTTTACTTATTGAACTGCCCAACAAGATGACCTTTTATTACCACAAAAATACTAAATTTTATTTAATACCAGTATTGATTTATATCCATTTAAATGGTACACTACCATATTCTTTCCATTGCAACTCTCACACCAGTCATGCTAAATTAGATTTTAAATAAATATGTGTTCTCACCACATTTTAGAGTCCACTAATTTTGTCCCAAAACCAGTATCAATCCCACTATAAGGAAACTGGTGTTCTATCAGACATGTGCATTGGCTGGCAGTCAGCACCTTCGAGACACGCATTTTCAGTAGGTCATCTCTGCAGAGCAGTAGGCAGAGTTAAGAAAAATTCAATATACCTCTGCTTAGGTATTGGTACCAAAAAGCAACATTTTCTAATAATAAAGGACAGAGATGCATCAAAGCACAAGAGCCTCCAAAAATGCTTGTAATACCCAACTACGTAAACCAGTTAAATCATGCCTAACTCCCAAGCCAAGTAAGCTACACTTTTCAGTTAATACACACACTTATGGGAAACAGACAGCTAAGGGAAACCACARTAAAATGGGTGCCATAAAGAAAGAGTGAACAAAAGGCAGAGACCAGGCAGTCACAAATAACAGACCTAGTGACCTAGACGTGAGCCATCAGAGACTTCTCCACAGAACACAGCTTAGATGCAGGACTACATTCTGCAGTCACATCCTCCTTACTAAACTTACTGCACACTCTAAGGACTCAATGAGAGTAAAAATGTATCATTCCACATTATTTTTCCTTGTTTCTCTGCTTTAAATTTGCATGGTATTTGGCTGGGAGCTGCACTTGACTGAGCTACGCAACAAAACAATAYGGATCAAGGAGATGGACACCCAAATTCCTCACACAATTTCAAAATAAAAAAATCATATTCCTTTTTTATCTGCAAAGTGCTTCTGTTCTGTTGAATAGCCACAACATTTTAKCCTGCACCACTGTATTACAAAATAATTTGACAGGAATTAGAAAGCCACTTAAGATCTTCTAAGATGACACTCCTAAGTAAAATTAAGGCAGCTATTGTCATTAGAAGCTATTAAAGAGACCCAAGATGGACATGTTTCTAATATCTTAGAGTAGGTCATGGTGGAGAAATAATAAATCAGCTGTCAATAGGCACATAAAAAGGATATTTGTCAAGACGTTAATTGCCTTGACCATTCTTTCACACTTTTTCTTCACTAATAGCTCATCCACAATCTGTTCTGGCATCTGAAGATGATCAAGAAGAACAGGCAGCAAGAGATCCATAAARTGTTCAGCTGAGACACCATTCCTATTGTTAATAACATCCTGCAATAAAGACATTTTATTTTATGTCAATTTAAAAGTACACCACAAGGAAGCCAAGTTTACTCAACCCTTCCTGCACCATCTTGTGTTCCTGCTTTCTCAACCTCTTGCTATTTCAGGTCTAAGATGGCTGACCAGTATCATACTGGAGGAGGAAGTTTAACACAGAACAGAAACAGCAGGAACTTCCTCACTTCTGCAAGTCCTAGAAAGGAATTCTGATAGTTTTCTATCTACCTCATGACTTCATAAACTGCCCATCTCTTCCACTTACACCACAGACATATTTTTAAAATACTGCATGTCTCTAAAAAAGAAAGTTGTTTTACAAAGTATGTTTATTTCAACATAGCTACTTTACAAAGAACTTTATTACAGGATTTTTTTTGTATGTGATATTTTTCAAGTCAAATTATAATACTTGTTTAAAAATCATTGAAAAATAAGAGCTGCTAAGAAGCTTTTTAAACTCAGTTATCAGTCTTGGTACCTCAAAAATCTCTTTGAATAGTTGCAATGCTAGACCTGAACAGTCTTCAGAGCCTTCCAATGGTTGGTTTGACAAGTGTACCAATGCAACAGATGGTTCAAAACTCTTTGAGCGAGTCACAAATCTGGTGTTTCCAGAGACTGGCAAGCCAGCTGGTTCCAGTATCACCTGCCGCAGGGTATGACGCAGTTCTAGCACAGAGCAGAAGGCAAGCAGCAGCTCTAAGATCTGTGTGAAGTGAAAAAGAGTTCAAATGCTTTTAAATCAAGAAATACAAACTGCAACTCTCATGACACAAGTCTAAGGAGATATGCAAGTTCTATGCAACTCCTTTTAGCACTTTAAAGTTTTCTGAGGAGTAATTTTCTTTCTTTAAAGCCAAGTCAGCAGCAGAAACAGTTCATTGGACTGGSGAAGGCTTGTGACAGTATTGCTTCCTTTGCTTTTTTAAAGGACATGAATGCTGGCTAGTGATACAGTAAAAAGTACAAACATGGATACACTCAGCATGAAGAAAGCTATTGAAGAGAAAAACATTCTGAGACAGGARTGGATACAGGTGTCTCTAAGCATGCACAGAGAAAAACACCCTGGAAAGCTCCTTGTKAACATGCGTCCCTAAATAAACCCAATAAAACACAACAAATATCACACAGAAATAGTAGCATCTAATATTAACTAGGATGTGTTACACATTCATAAAAAAAAGCCCAAGACTTGTTTCACAGATATATTTAGCCCCAAAATTTTCAGATTTCATATTTTAGCCTTTATTGACAGCCAATGTTTCATTTATGTAAGGTGGTAGTGAGACAAAATTGAAYGTAACAGTTCACTGCTTAAACACAAGTGGCATCTATTTGTTCAACTAAGGTTAGAAYACTTATTCCTAAACCTTTGAAATTAGCATCAGGGTTCCCTGATCATCAGCTGAAGTCTCAGCGGTATGAATTCAAGGTTTAGAGAGTGAAATGGGATACACTGCATTCCTGCACTATATATTCCTGAAATTTCTTATTAGCCAAAGCACAAAAGGTGTTTACATTGGCTTTGTGTCTTTATGTCTGCTGCCTGAAAGGAAACACACAGACTGGCAAAAATCCCAACATTACAAATTCAATATGACAGTCTTTTGAATAACTAGAAAATACAAACTTGGTGAATACTCCTGGTCATTTAAGAGTCCTGAAGTCAGTGTATTTCATTATCAGATCTTGTACACAAGGAATTTACTTGCAACAACAGAAGATGAAGTAGATTAGCATTGTAACCTCTTAGCCTTTAACTGAAAAGGTATAAATACCTTAGATGATGAATCAGGGTCTCTTCCATGAAGAAGATCTAATACTTGACCAAGGCAAGAAGTAAAGTGCTCATACCTACAGCATGCATAGAGAAGAAAAAAAATTAAAAATAAAATTAAAATTTCACATTTAGACTTTTACATCAAGTGATGAATAAAAGTGCCCTATTCTCCTTCTTATCCCCAAACACTTCAAGTACAGTGACAGTTTTGATAATATGATTTCTAGTTGAAACAGCATAAGCATATCCTAAGAATGAAAGAAAAATTAGCTACGATTTTTCAGCTATTCTTACTGATTAATTTAGATTGAAAATCAGCAACTAAATTCTGCTAGCTGAATTTGTAGAACTACTAATCAAGCACACCACAGAACTACTCTGTAACACCTCTCCCTCTGCAAAATTGCTACTTCTTACAACTTCAACCATACTATTCCACTTCAAGATTATATAGCACTGAAAAAGGCAGGATAGCTACTCATCATGTTGTTTGACCACCAACACCACCCAGACAAAGAATTACAAAACATGGTATTCAATATGCCTACAGTGACAATGAAGGAAAATAGATTGTGATTCACACTTCTGTGTCAAAGTAATAACCCAGCAACTCTTTAGGTTCAGATACAGCAGTTATAATTACAATCAACTAGCAAGATTCAAATAGCATCTTGGCATTTTCTTCCCCAATGTGTGGTTTAGAATTCAAATAGCATAGAGCAAAGAAACTGAACTAGAGCTTAAGAAAAATATCTTGAACTTTTGGGAAATGAAGCCATACCTGGTAAGATAATCRGCAATTTTAGGGTTCTTCATAAGATCCATGAGTAGATCAACAGAATATTTTCTTGTGAGAGTATCTCCATTTACAACAATATTGAATATTAACTGAAATGTCTGATGGATATTTCGAGCATGAAAGAGCTGAAAGGAAGAAGAAGGTTATGTATAGGCATTTTGCTGGGTCACTTGCTTTTTAAAACTAGCTGGAATTAAAAATATATTTGGATAGCGTGGCAATTAGTTTTATCTAAAACTTAAAAACAGAAAAAACTACAAAGACTCACTTACTTTTTCCCCTACTTCTTCATTTAGGGTAAGGCTTGATAACACCGAAAGTGCAAAGACAACTATAGTCAAACTGCTGTGGGCCAAGAAACTTATTAAGGTACGATAGAAACTCTTCACATTATTCTACAGTGAAAAGAAGAAACACAGGTATTACAAATCCACCATTTACAGATTTTACATATTTATAAATAAGCCATACAAGTAATAAATAATACAATAGGTTAGTATGGTAAGCATTCTCTAGGAAAGCAATTTTACTGTTCTACTGCAAAACATTGGCATAGATGTTAATGTTGTCTGTTGAGCCTGTATAAGAGAAATATAAGAAAAAAAAACCCCCAAACAACAACAAAAAAAAATCAACCAAGGAAGAAATTCCATCATTATTCTAAAGAGAGATGAGAAAGTCATTTTGCTAAAACCTATAACAGAAAACAATCACTGAAAATTGACTCCCATCCTTTCTCTGCTCAATGGCCAGATCCAACAATTGTTCCTACTTTTTCTTTGTTCCATGCCTCTCTTCCAAGGCAAATAGTACATTTACTGCTACGTAGATTAATTTCTATTTCTGAACTAAAAAATAAAATGTTTGCACTGATTTATGAAGACACAGAAACCAAGTCGCTCAGATATGTATATATATATCTGAGGATTCAAGAGCYGTGATATGAAGAGCAGTACTACTTTATTGGTTTGTCTTTTGATAGGCAAATCACTTTCTTGCTTATCAAAAATTCAACTACAGTCTTTATGTTTTAACAACAGTTAGTTTTGCTATGGAAGAGTGCTCAAGTTTTAAATCCTCCTTTCATCTGCAGAGAACAGTTGTAAAAAATGCATTAACACAAACCAGGGCAACAGAGCAATGTACCAAAGGAAAGAAAATACCCTGCTTCCTGTTCTACTGGTTATTTTCTCCARCATAGGAGAAACAACTGCTCATTTGGCAGACAAGCAGGTTAGGGTTATGATCAGTGAAATAAAGTGCTTAAGAAATACAATAGTAATTCCCTAGAGTCAATACGCTCTTACCCTTAAGCCAGAGAATCATGACACAAAAGCAAAACTCTTACCAAAGATTTTATCTGACTTTGAATAGACAAGTTGTGACGACAGAGGTTTGCCAGGAGTCCTAAACACGGTATTGTTAACTCATCTTCAGAGGATTGACTTAAAAGAAAAGCCCAAAAGATGTATTCATTGAAGCATCCTGAATTTAATTGCAAGAAATTGTAGGGTGGGGGCTGGGAGAGCTGGGTGGTTGGGGGACTTTTTCTTTTGTTTTGTGTTTTGGCAGGAGCTTGTTTTTTAATTAGACACCATTTCACCAAGCAAAGAAAATTCAGATTGTAATCCATGGGGTATGGGCAGCTTTTAACTGAGTACATCTGAAAAAACCCTAGTCACTGCTATCAGAGATCACTTATTGCATATACTTCTAATACTCATTAGACTTCTTACAAGGACACTTGAATCAAATTTTTATTAATCTAACAAGTCTGCTTCGAGTGACAAGCATGTATTTCCTCCTGGYTTTTCTCTTTGTTAGCTCCCTGCTCCCAGAGGTGCGGGGGTGGGCTAAGAGGCCAATTAATATTCTATCACCCGAAGTCCCATAATCATTGCATTTGACAATCTGTCACAAGTACATGGTTTTCAAAGGAAAGGCTCTTTTAGTTTCAGAGAAATAAATGCCACAGCACACTCTGGAGATCAGGTTAGTACAGTACTCTAATGGCCTTCAGAAATTCAGAAACTTAGCCACTGTTTCCCATAAGAAAAGACACTGAACACACACTTACACACGATGCATTAAAAATGAAATTAATCCATCGATGTTGACACCGGGGCAAAAGACTGGAACATTGTAGGTTAGTCTCTGCAGCAATTGAATACCCTGAGGAAACAGAAAGCTGTTCACATGTCTGTCCTACTGCATCTCATGAGGAACCTTACAAGTGACAAAAGATGAAACTGAAAGATAAATATCAGGACACCACAACCAAATTAATTCACAGACTCAAACATTAACATAMCAATTGCACAAGCTGCTGCAAGCACACCGTAAAGTCCTACCATACCTACGTACTTATTAAAAGCCAAAAAATATTAATTATTTTTTTACAGAGGAGTTACCTTTTCAGCCCATCCAGTTCTCCCCTCTGCCTCACTATYAAGTTCTCCTTTCTGTCAGTGATGAACAGGCTTTGCTCTACTGARAGGTCTAGAAGTGTCATCAAAATCCAGAAAGCACTTTGCAACCTCTTGTAAGAAAGGATGCTTATAGGAAAACAGGTTTGCTGTAAAGACTGCCAAGAGATCTAAGGGTAGCAAAGTCCTTCACACAGCACTTTCTTGGCACATAAATGAAGACAATACACACAAACATGACAAAAATCACAGCAGATGTTAGCAGCTAAAACAAATCCTCACCATTTAAATATCTAAGAGCTTCATGATTTTAACATTGGATCTATCTGGTGACTACAAAATCTCTCCTATTGACTGGCCAGTCACTTGGATCCCTAGACCTTGTACTCCTAGTGCTTTGAGAAATATGCAAACCACGAGAAATGTGATATTTACTGGATGCCTGACTAATTTTCCACAGAACAAGGGCCACAGGACTACGAGTAAATTCATTTCCTGCTCTCCAGGARTAGACAAGTGACAACAGGCAACCAGCAAGTACTTGCTGAAAGCTTAGGAAAGAAAGGTGTATATTTAAAAAAAAAATTAAAAAATGTAGGGACAGGTTAAAATTAGTGAGGTCAAACTGGGAGATGTCAGACATTCACTGTAAGCTTTCATTAGTACACCCCACCATGGCATTCAATGGCAGACAGCACTGACCAGAAGGGAGGAGGCCACACATGCCCTGCAAACCTCCCTTGAAAGCAGGCAGCCACAGCTTTCCCTTCATTTCTTCACAGTTACCTGTCAAAGTACTGATTAGACAAAGTGATTTCCAGGCTTGTGTGGTGAAACAGGTTCATATTGGGACAAATAACTGAATATCTCAACTGGAAAACAAGCAGCTGAGCTCTCAAGCATTGACTTCTTGAAATAATCTTTAAAAAGCAGATTTTTTTTTTGTTTGRTTGTTATTTTTGCTTTKTGKKWTTTTTTTTCTTAGAGGAGGTGACAAGCACAGTAAGATTAAAGAGAGTACAAAGAACTCTATAAAGTGTTAAATTCCTGTCACACCCACCTCATAYAGCAAATAAAGTATACAGCTAAGATACACTTTCCCTCAACACATTGTTTCCAGAAGACCTTTTGAAGGGTTATTATATACCTAGAGTATAATATTTATTATGCAATAGTAGCCAAATATTATTAGTTCCTTTACCTGTAATAAAACTGGGTCACTCARATTAGTAGAACTTCGATGAACCACTCCTGCTAGCACACTGGTCAGGTTGTAGGTGTCCTGGAGAGCTTCTCTAGTCTCAGTGTCTGAAGCTGGAATTTAAGAATTATTAGGAAAAGCCCCATCTAACACCAAAAGTTGTATTAGCTACTAATCTAAGCAGAAGCCAAAGTCTCTGACCAGATCTTCATGTATRTTTTAAAGGTAACTACAAATAAATGACAGCTCCTCTCTACCTCACTTCTGAACATGCAGTTAATTATAACACTAATCCATTTCCTTAAGATGCTTGGACACTGAAGGAATGGCCTCCCTCCTACCTACCATGCTTTAGTTCTGAGGTCCTGAAAYCTGCATTTCAAAGGCTTTAGAGCTTAAATTCAATGATTCAGTTTCTTGTTTCATGCTATGGAGGACAAGTAGACTTAAACTGATAACTTGATATGGTTATCTAGCATTAGTTAAATAAATAAATAAAAACCCAGTTTTGCTTAAGCAATGCTGAAAGAGATGCAGCAAAACAGGTAAATCAATAGATCACTTGGAAGAGGACTTCATTCTTAAAATTTTCAAGACCCAACCCCAGCAACAAATATAATTTTACATTAAATGTTCTAAAAACGTAAAAGGAAGCTTGAAGAGGCTTAAACTCCATGAATCAGAGAAGATAAACAAAGGAGCTCAAAGGATTTGAGTCCTTTATCCATCATATAGGACTCAAATCTTGAAAAACTACTCATATACAATGAGAAACTAAGCAGTGAAGGGATAACTGTGTATTCCCCTGTGCATGTCAGTTGTGCTCCGAGCACAGAGCTCCCTGCACAATGAAGTCCCACTTCCATGAAGTAGAGGGGAGGAACAAAGAAAGCAAAAAAGGGCATCTCAATACACATGTAAAAGGTAGTAAAACCTCTTTTGCAGATGGAAAACTTGATGCATGCAGGCCCAGGCTATTGGAGAGCCCACACTGCCAGCAAACACTCCAGTGGGAAAAGTAAACTCAGGTGATGACTTTTGTTGATGTGACATGACTTCTCCCTATCTTTGCACTCCCTAGCCCTATGTTTCTCATTTGATTAAAAAGGTAATCTGTTCCAGCTCCAGAAATATTGGATAAGAGAAAAATTCCTCACCCTACCCAGTGGAGAAAAAAATTCTGACAGGCACGATCATTGTCATTTCACAGGGATGACTTCAAATCTGCTTCTCATGGCAATTTGACAAATTAACAGATGGCTTAGCCAAACACTCCACTACAATGAAAAATACTCCATCTTCCATACTTTATGCTTCTTCCAGRAAATTAATCACCCATGCCACAGAATCAGCACCTGTCTTATCTTTCCTTTCCGGGCAACAAAAAGTTCAGATGCAAACCTTACCTAGTTGTGATAGCAAAGTAATCACAGACAAGGCCAGAGATGGGTTTATATTAGTGTCCTCYAGGAGCTCTACAAGACAACTGATACATTCACTTGGTAGAATCTGGTTTGAAGCAAAAAAACGTGTGAGCTTCAGTCCAGAGATAACCTGGAGAGGAAAGAAGAAAGACAAYCCTACTTACTCAACTGCAACAATGTAATTAACACAGAAGCCAAAGCACAGAGATGCATTGAATTGATTCTGCCCTGCTTGACGAACTGAAAGTATAGGGGCCACTCTAATGTGACATTTGTATGTGCATCAGCTGGGAAAAAACAAAACAAAAAAAAAAAAAAAAAAAAAAAAAAACAATGGAAAAAAATCTGGTTTTCATTCCTTTATGCCTGGAAAGTACCAGGTTTACTTATTTTGAAAGAGCAACCCAACAGATTGCTCAACACAAACATTTAGCAATCAGCCTGCCTTCCAAAGATGTGGGATGTGGACAGATACCCAAAGGTGCCACTCCACAAGGAGGATCAGCAGCAGCAGGCAGGGATATTTTAGGAGCGCTCTGTGACTGGCATGAAACAATGAACCCTTAACTCGGGGAACCCTGTATAAGRGGAGGCCAAAAATTATACACCTGCACATTGATACAGGTAGACACGATTTATATTTTGCATAATGGAGACACATAATGTTGGGTTTGCACATTCTCTCCATGTCTCTTTATAAGGGATAYAGAGGAGAAAACAAAGCTAGACACTAACTCTCACATAAACGTTTTGGCAATTAAAATAAATCTATGTTTGAAAACATTAACTTGCAGATTAGTTCAGTCAAAGGCGCCACAAAAGCTGTACATAAGGCTGTACCTGGATGTCACGGAAATACACTGGCCTACCCTCTTAGCAGAAACCACGTTTGAATACGTGCTGCACAGAACTGGAAAACTCCAGATACAAGACCAGCTCATCATTTCTTAAGGTGTGAAAATAAATGGTCCTTGCGGACCAGAATTTTGGGGATACATAAAAAAAAAAGTCCCTTGCAACACATACTGTCTGCTTGTGCTGAGTGTATACAAGCTTACTGCACAACTCTGTAAACACACAGACACACCATAAAACATTATAATATAGGACACCACAACCCCCCACCACGTCTCTTAGCCATGTTTCTCATTGCACAGGCCCCTCCACGTCCCCTTCCACCGGGCCCCCGGCTTCTCCCACCTCCAGGCTGCGCTGCAGCAGCGCGGCGTTGTGCGGTGTCTTGGCGGCGCGGTACTCCGTGGCTGCGAGGAGCAGGGCCTTCATGCAGCCCGGGGCATCCATGGCGCTCCGGCTCCTCAGACTCTCCACACTCGGCCCCCGCTCGCATTTCCCGCCGCCGCCGCCATCTTGGCGCAGCGACCACTGAGCGCGAGCGCCCGCCGGGGCCGCGCGGCACCACGGGAGACGCCGCCGCCGCCATCTTGGTTAAGGGAGACAGAGGCGGGCAGCAGCTTCAGCGGGAGCGGGGTCACCCCGGGAATGTCGCCGCTTGGGTCGGTGACACCGGCTTTAGGGCTCACGTCAATTCCCCCAGCCTCTGGAGGGCCGCGTCCGCATTGGAGCTGCCGTCGGTTCCCGCCCGGCGTTCACAGCCCTGCTTCGCCTTTCTGCTGCCTTTCCAGTCGGCATCATTCTTTCCTCGCCTTTTTGGGAGGGCTTAATCCCGTCCAGCAGCCAGTTTGCCCTTCCGCCAGTAATTCCCTGGCCTCTACGGCGGGAAGGGGAAGCCTTGGCGGTGTCCTGGCGGTGGCGGGGATCGAACCTGTGATATCCCGACCCGACCTGTGGTCCGCCTCCCACAGCGACCCCCGCAGTCCCCTGAGGGCACAGCGCCCGCCCCGCTGCAGCCGGAATCGCTCCCTGGTGCCCTTTCAGCCGGAGCCGCGATGCCGCTGGCCCCGGGATCGTGCCCCTCTTGCACCATCTTCTTCCTTACACCCTGTGCTCGCACCTTTCGCGTGTACAAGAGGTTCTGCCCCCGCGCTGCTCAACCTCCTGAAATGGACATAAACACGCTAACCCACCCACCTTTGGGATGTGGGGGAATGGCCTGCGTGACGCTTTTGAGCCTGTTTTTTCAACTCGTGCACCGATTGTTTACTGCTTAATTAAGCCTGCAAATATGTGTAGGAATGTCGATATTGTCCTCATTTTCCTATACTGCTAATGGGACTAACATTGCTGTAAAGCACAGGTCAGTAATGTCAATGTGACATAAATGTCATTCTGTGTCTCTTTTTCTTTTTAAGTCCTTTATCCTTCTCGCGTCCCCTGCTTCACATGGCTGCCGCAAGGGAATGCTGGAGAAGTGACTGGAGTGTGGGTTTGGAATCACCCTCCGTCCTGGATGGCACACAAGGACCTGCAGCCACCACAACTGTTACAAATCCGAGTCCAAAACTCGGCTGCCGAGTGCCAGCTCAAAGGCACCATAGCCCGGCCCTTGTCCCCTGTTAACCATCAGAGTCACTCAGGATGCACCGTGAGGCACAGGTTGGGACTCCTTGTCACTCAGCATTTTCCCAAGTGTGACTGAGTTGAGCACCAGGGGGACTGCTGAGACTGTCATTTCAGAAAAACCACAGTGTTGTGCTTTGTTAAGGAGCAGGCTGCTGTAGGTGGGGTGTCTCAGCACAGCATTTCCTCAGGCTGGTACCTGTGGCAACCAGCAATCAGACAGGCTACTTGATTCGACAAATAAAGAGACACATGAGTTATGTGCTTCTATAGAGCAAGGCCTGGGGTTTTTATGYCCCATAGTACCATTTTTCATGGACAACTACTTTCCTTTCAATTAATGAAGTTTTGGACACATATTTTAAAATTTCTTTGCAATGCTATAGTGAATTAATAGTCTCATTTTTTGTCTCCTTGCTACAAATATTCGTTGAGCTTGTAGCCAAAAACTCTGCAGCACTATTAAATTTATAATGAAGTCCAAAGCACTGGAAGGTCTAAAATTCCTTTGACTAACGATGGTGTGAGAGAAACAGAGTACAAAAAAAATCTAACCAGTATTACACGATAAAATATATAAATATTTTGTGAAGGGTCTTAAACACACAACAAATAGAAATATCTTCCTGATGTTCTCAAATGTTGATGGAGTGTACACAAGTGACTGGGAGACTCAGGACACACATTCCAGTTCTGGCTATGGAAGCGAGCTGCAGGCCACCTTCAGAACTAAAGTATTTATTAAATATTTAAAATTGGGGGTAATATTAAAGTAGATTCTTACATTAAAAAAAAAAAAAAACAAACTACAAAAGACATACACATAATACAGAGCTAATAATAGCAGTAGCAAATGCAATGGAGTAAGTGTTCCCAAGTGTACAGAACCTATTAAGAAAAGGATGTGTTCATGCTGACATGCAGGTAGAACCTGTACTCCTCTTGTAAGCCGCTAGAACCATTGCTCAACATTGAAAGTATTTCAAACCATTTTCCACTGGTTGATTAATTTTTTATGGCATRGATTTAACACAGCATTTTGTTTTAATTTGGATTATTTTAAACTGCAGACTACCTGTGTCTGTTGACGTTGCYGAAATACCATCCACTCATCCAACAATGACGTAACATGAGTCATGTGCAAAATAACAGAGTTTGGAGGTTTTAAAATGTCTTATGATGCCAAAAGTTTTGCAATGTATGTTTTTTATCAACACACATCAATTCTGCCATAAATTACTGCTTTGTGCGCATTCATTCSATGTATTTATGTTGCTGTTTTATAACAGAGTGTTCACTCTAGTGGTCGGCATCTTGGACAATTTGCTGGCTAAAAACCACCAAAAGACATGGACACAAGATACCTTTCCCCCATATGTGCGTGTATGTGTCTGCAACAAAAAAAAATAATTATTTTATTGCTGAGCAAAAATAGCTGGTACTGGATCCAAAAGATAGCTGCTCTGGCAGTCCATAGGAGGCTGATTCCAGATCGAGCGTGGGGCTCTCAGCTTGCAGCACTCCCCGGCTGAGGCACTGCGCTATGACACAGCCTGGAACGGTGACTTCCCAAATCATCASGTGCACATCCTTCAGGGTAACACGGTGATGTAATCACCACTGTCATCAACTTCTGTAAAGTAATCGATACAAACAAGAAAAGATGTCATTGCRAGGGCTCTTCTGAAAGGCCATGGGAGTGCATGTGGCAGGGCAGGGATCAGTAACGCAGTTAGATTTTTCAGTGCTATTGCAGAGCCAACATCTAGGGCCCCCTGTCCTATGGACTGGACTTCCAGGAGCCCACATGGAGACAAACCCTGCATTGCCTTTTCTGAGCCAACTGCACTTTAGAAATAATTGAATCCATGTGAGAACCCCTCCTTCTTGAGGAACAAAGGTTGGAAATCATTCATTCTTGGTAAATCAGATCAATAGCTGAGATATCTTCAATTTGTGTAACACAACACACCCCGTCTTCTGTAAATAAATACCCAAGAGAAAAATTCCCATCCCAACTAAGCGAGGAGAGCCTGAAATACTCCGCTCTCTCTTACTAATCTCTTGTTAGATTTATTATGGTTTTTGAGAAGCCAGGGAAAAGGCAGAAATTCAGTGCTTGGGACTCRAAGCTCTGCCATGGAAACGTATTGCTCTTCAAGCATCTGCCCTCAGAAAAGCTGTTTCCAGGCCTGCAAACAAAGTTCAAGTATCTCCAACCAGCAGCATCGTGACCCCAATCCCTTGAGGTGTTCCACTGGTCATGCTGGAGTGCTCAATCCCACACGTGCAGCAAAGCCAGCTGGTAGAACACGAGGGCTGGGACAAGGAAATAGGGTGCTTGCTTTAGGGAGCGCTGCTGTGCTTTGGGTGGTGCCTGTGTTTCAGAGAGAGCCATCATGACACTAACATAAGCCCACCCATGAATAATGCAATCTAAGAGGGAAGTTGGGAATGATATGTAAGTGAAACTTTAAATCAAATTTTAATAAAAACAATTCCRAAGTAGTTTGATTATTTCTGAAAAGCCTCCATTTTTATGGAAGACTACACATATTTTAACAGTGAAATGAAAGGGTTTGTTTTCCTCCCTGTAAATCCAGATGAGGACATTGTGCATCTTCTAGAAAAATTTGTATTGCAGGACCAAAAAAAAAAAAATTATTACACCTGATAWTTTTTTCTAAAATTAATTTTTYKAAATAATTTTTCTWAATTAAAATTTTCTTCCTAAAAACAAGTCCATGATRCTGAAATATTTTCCATCCCCCTGGTGCAGCAATGACAAGATACCATAAGAACATTTTTAGAGCAAATGTGGCACATTTGCCTTCTTTTACCGGTGACAAGATACTGTTGAAGATGTGGGAAAGGTGTCTCTGCAACTTCCCCTCAGCAAGGCTGCTGCCGCTCTGGCCCCAAACCTGCAGCTTAGTGGATGCAGTGCTGGCTGCACTGATCTTGTGTGCAAAACCCCAGCAACTGCAGCAGAGAGGCACACTCCACAGTGCTGAGCTGCTGTCGGGCATGAACTGCAAATCTCAGGGCAGGGTACAGACTCCAAGGCCTTGTTTCCTTTATGGTAACTATACTTAACAAAAGGATTTCCCTTGCTCACGCGTACCCTGGCTGTGGCTCTCCACGCACTCTGCCAGAGGTCATGGAACAGTTTCAGAGTTATTTTGCAGCCCATGGCCTGATGGATGCTGCAGCTGAGGGTTTGTACAGCAGGAACATGCAGAATGGACGTAAGGATGATGTGGGACTGTACAACACAGTCTAAAGCTTTACAAAAACCTCTGTCTTTATTGTATCCATTTGAATAATTCTGTCAGGTAGAAGCATCAGATCCTTGTCCTACACCTGGGACTAGTGAACATAAATTAGCAGAAGAAGAGCAATGAGAGGCTAAGCTCTGGTTCCAAAGCTGGTATCCTGAGCACAAGGCTATATGCTTGTTATCAGTTRGTTATGTTTTAATACAAATCAAAAGCTGGCTTGCATACTCGCCCATCTCAGAACTATGAGGAAGGTTTTGATATAAAATTGTCTTAAAACCTGAACAATGAAGGTAAAGGACAGCCTCAAGTGAAGTGAGGTGAAATGAAGGGCCTGGTACCTTGGCAGAAGCACATTGGGTAAAATTGGTTCTCAGCCTTCCCCAGCCTAGAAGCATCAACCCATGAGGGACTGAGCTGTGGGCAGCTTTATTCGTCATTCTGTATCTCTATCAATTTTAATTTGTGCATATGCAGTGGGTGAAGGTGAGTAACCTGTGAWCTAAGAATAACCGTGTGAACATAAGAGGGAAGGGAAAATGTTGAACTTCTGTCCATGGGAGTGGATATTTAGCGAGCATTCACCACAAATCTTTCAATGTCATCATCTTAAAAAAAACCCACAAAGGCAGAGCTAAATTTCTCACCATCGTAAACACTGTCCATTCCTGACTTGAGCCTCCATCTCCTTTGCGARGCCTTTTGTTTCTTCACTGGGTAGCGGAGGTTTGTTATTAGTCCTTGATCTGGCTTTTCAAAATTGTATATTAGGTCCTTTAATGTTTTGAAGGTCCTCTCTGGAGTACCYTCAGAAGTCTGTAAGGAAACAATAACAAAATGTGTTTGCAAGTGCCCTTAATGTGGAGTCCCCTAAATGAAGAGAATGACAGGTTGTTTCTTATGTACCAAGGAGCTGTTTTGTAAGCAGATTTGGTGACAAAATATTGCACTGTCCTGAAAACACTAGGGACACCTGTTTGGTGGCATGGTTATGGCACTAGAAGTAACCTCCCTCACCATTTTTTTTTCCAAAAGAACATCAGTTTAAATTATTGGTGTAGATGCATGCTGCAGCAATCCACTGCAGCAGAGTGTTGGAGAGTGACACTGCCCTCTGGTCTGAGAGCGTAAGTTTAGGGATAACRTATTTTGTTTTCACTTAAAACGTTGTCTTTAAATAACTGTGTGACAAACAGAACCCAGACTTTTACAGAATATCAGCATTGGTGAGTAAAGGACTTGTGCAAGAAGCTGCTTTTTAAGCTGCTTTTTAAGTGTGGGTTCATAAGACAGGACTGAACTGGTTCTGCAGCTCAACCCTGCAGAGATCTGTGCATGGACTTTACAATGCTGTGACTTTAGGGCAGTGACAGACAGAGAGCATATCAGTCAACTCCAATCACAATCAGCAGTGTAGCAGTAGTCATTAAAAGACAGTGGGGCTTTGGTTTCACTTAATTTGCTATCTCACAATGAAACATGTTATTTATTTTCTTGGATTTCTGCATCCTTCATCTTCCATTCAGCGCTGTGTGGACTGGCTGCCACTGCCTCCATGTTCTGGGTCTGGCTGGGATGCAGTTAACTCTCTTCAAAGCAGCCTACATAGTGCTGTGCTCTRAATTTGTGACTAAAACAGTGATGATAACACAGTGGTGTTTGGGCTGTTGCTGAGAAGTGCTGGATGTTGYCTTTTTCTTGCACTTGATTCCCCTGGTGAGTAGGCTGGGGGTGTGCTGTCTATCCCATCTCACCCCATCTGACACWGTACTCAGCAATAAAAGCTCAGGGAAAGTGAGGACATTTGTGGTTATGTGTATGCCGAGGCCTCACTTTCCATGAGCTGGCTGAATATCTGCCTCCTGATGGGAAGGAATTGCTCAACTCCTTCTTTGCTTTGCTTGTACACACAACTTTGCTTTACCTATTTACCTATTAAACTGGATTTTATCTCACTTTTGCTCTTTGTATTCTCTTTCCCCCACCCTGTCCTGCTAAGGAGGGAGGGAGTGAGTTGTGGGAGAGCTTAGCTGGTCAGGGCAGCCTACTGTGCTCTAGAAAGCTCATGGCTGAATCCAACCTACCTCAACAATTTTAGTAAGCCAAAATAATCAGAACTAATTTTTTTTTAAGAACCGAACTCTTCTGATATCACATTATTGGCAAAACTTCGTAAGGAAAATGGGTTTGAAAAAAATTAAAGTGTCTGAATTATTACTTGCTGCTAGGAATGACAGCATAACCCCAGTAGAATGGCTAAGGTCCAAAACAGAATATTTTTTTTGTCAACAAACCATTCATCTTCATGGGAAATYGTGTCTTTCATACTCAGGCAAAACCACTAATAAGGAATAAATTACCAGCATATGAGAGCTTGGTGTGTCCTTTATAAAGTGATTTCCTCATTCCACTTAAATGCTACTTAATTATTGGCAGACTTCTTGGCTGTCCCACTAAAAGCAGGGGGGTGAGCCAGCTTTATTTAGATCCTTTCATATTGCCTGGATATTTGATTGAAGCATTTGTCTCTCTTACACTTGTTTTGCTTGAGCAAGCAGCATTATCTGACATCGTCACTTCAGATGTCTCACAATCATACAGAATTACAGATTCTTTAAATCAGAAGGATCATTGAAATATCCCAGATCCCTATGAAATGCAGTGTGCAATGGCAGAGCTTTCAAGTAGAAGAAGCTAATTAGGAATAGGAAAAAGTAACAAAAGTAATAGATTTTTCATCAGTGCTAATGAAAAGAAATAGTCAAATCAGAAAGCTGCTGATTAATAAATAACAGAGCTGCTTMGATCATAAGGAAATTCAACAAACACAATAGCTACTTTTGAGTTCATATGTAATAAGCCAAGAATTGAGTAGAGAAGAGATCAAACTTGGAAATATTTTCTATGGTATTTTACTTACGGATTTAAAAAAAAAAAAAAAATCTATCTATCAAGTGATCACAGACTAAAATGACCACATATTAAAATGATCATAGATCATAGCTGAGGGTAAGATCTTTGAATCTATGATTTTTTAAAATTTATGATCCTTAGTGCAGTCTTTAGAGATACAATGAGAATTACTCACCTGTATTCTAAAATATCCTTGATGTTCCCTGAAGATACGGTAAGTGTAGATCAGGTCCTCAAAGCTGTGAAAAACATTGTTGTATAMATGACACATCACATTAACAAAGTGCAAAACTGGACATACCTGCAAACAGTAGGTAGTATTAAAGACYTGAGAACTTGTGCAGTAAAATTGATGAGGCTGAGACAGAAAAGGAAAGCAGAAGCAAGCCTAGAGATTACAAAACGAGTGAAAGCTTAATATTTTGAAATATAAGATTACTCTAACCAGGGGTTTCAAGGAATTTATGAACTAAACCTAACACAGGCCTTTTATAAGCATAATTTGATTCCACATACATCACCTTCTGTCATCTCTCTCTTACCTTCCCCATGTGTGATGTCTCCCTAAACTTAATTTTGCATGTCTGTGACAAGAAGGSTGTTGAATTTTTGGAGAGATATTAGCAGAAAATAGCCTCCAGCCACCAGCACCCAGAAAATGACTGCATAGCACCTACTTCTGAGAATGATGTTCTTCCTTTGCATTTACCAGGGTTTTAGTTTTGGTTGTTTTTGATAATAGGCAGGTGTTTGAAGACTGAGGGTACTGATGTCTTTGGATGTATTTTGTCAACAGAAATAAAMGCTTTATCAGATATCACAGTGGCAGCAATGCAGGAGGTAGAGATCATGATCAAAAAACAGTTACTCTGAAAATAAACTMCTTTGTTCTACAAAAAAAGTTACTGTGAACTGAGATCAGGATAAGGCTTCCAGTTACAATAGACTTGTTTTAATTCAAAGAGTGGTATCACAGGGATGTGTATTTTGGTGTTTTCCTTCTTGAGATACCTGTGGAAATCCACATGGCCCTTGCRGACGAGTACTTTTATAAATGTGGGTACTCATTCTTTGCACAGAGGCAGAGAAGTGAGAAAAAGAAATACCAGGAACTGAGCATTTTTGGAACTTGTTTTTTACTGATCAACTAAATTTTAAAATGTTACTGCTTAGATATTAATCAGCTACTATAATTTTTACTAAATAAACACAGAACTTCCATTAAAATGGAAACTTCTATTTCCACATTAACTGCTGAATGTTTACCAAGAGCTAATAATAAGGTACAAACAAACAAAGTGCTTGGTCTGGAAGAAAAGAGGTGAGAGGGAGAGTGGCATGTTAAACCATAAGAGAACAGCAGCAAAACCAGTAGGTGTAGACTGAGTCACTGTCAGAGACCTGAGATAATTTTGGGTGAAGGAGACAGTGTGCTGTGGAGGAAGATATGTCAGCACCATGCTCAATTAGATGAGAGATGCATTTGAACTGGTCCCACCATTCTGACTCTCTGATCCTCCAGGGTAGTGCACTTTCCCCCCAATATCCCAGGAATAAAGGACAAAAAAGGTTGGTTGTTTGCTGTAGCAAGTGAATCAGTGTCTATGCCCACGGATCAATTAATTTGAGAAGGGTGCATCAGTTTGCACATCAACCACCTTAAGTGCTAAACAAGGTTTTAAGATGCAATTCTAATCCAAAAGTTACCTTGGAACATCACYAAGAGTTTCAGCCTTGTTCTCATCCATGCGTGCCACCATCTGTGCACCATTGCTGCCACCCTTGCACTTCAACTGTGCCATTTGTTAATGTCTGAGTTATAGTCAAATCCACTGAACACTACAGTTTTTATCAGCTTTTAACACTACAAATCCAGAGGCACACTGGAAGTTACATTATTTTTTCCTATGCYAGCACAGAATATTGTGGCAGGCCAGGTATGACAGGCCAAAGCATCTCTGTGAGATCTCACAAGGCAAATCTTCTTCGCCCTTAGAAAATATAAAAAGAAGACGAAAGGGAAAGCAGTTGTGTTGGTGTGGCACAAAGGCTGACCCAGGTTCTAACTGATATTGCCATTCTTCCTCTGTGTCAGGTTCCCCATTTGTCCCTTCTGACATGGTGTGCATGCCCATTCCCTATTCCCTCCCATCTCCCAGCCCTCTCCTCATCCTCTACATAACCTCATTCCACACCRTACTGAAAGCAGGTTCCTGTAGCTCCCTTGCTGAGGGCTTTGTTTGKCTCCCACTTGCTCTTTCTCTTCTCCTTGTCCTGTCATTTTGCAAACCTCCTTTCTTTTACTCATCAACCCATGGTACTCCATTTATCGCTCCCTTTTTCACCACTCTCCATTGATTTGTTTCATAAGAAATGCATTTTTAGTCATTGATAAAAACATCTTCTGGTATTTTTTAATTAATTAGATGTGTTAAAAAGTTTTCATGTCACACTCAAAYGCATCCTCAACAAGAGTGTAAAACCTCATCGGTTCAAACAAAGACCTAGATTCTAATTTTTAAAATTTGAATGCATTATGAACAGATCAATTATATATGAAAAGTGTGAAAAGCCATCTTGAAAGGGAAATAAAAGTGCTATTCCCTACAGAAAAAGAACATAATAAAATTTTAATTATAGCAATTAAAGCAAAAGACTAGAAATAGCAGTCTTCTATGCCCGTCTTGTCTGTGGATTTGTCATATGAATTCAAACAGAACTTCGTAATTTTCATTGTCTGCCTATGTTCTTATATCAGGTAAAATTCCTTTGAAACACAAGGCTAAGCTTTCATCAGACAGAATTTCTACAAAGAAGGAAGTGTTTTGTAACACRCCATGAAACCTTCCAGTGTCTCAGCAGTGTTAAAATGCTGTTTACTCTTCATTACAGAGGCAGTTTCTTGGATATATTTTGGCAAGCTGAGCTATTTTCTCTGGACTCCCCTTTTTTTTCTGCAGAGAGAGACCAACATCTACAGATTATAGTTAATTATCATCTGTTACATGCAATGGCTTTTCTTTTTCTGCAAATGCCACCCTCTCTCTAGTCACTATAAAGGAAACCTAAGGCAACCAGCACCACTTGAATATATAGACACACTCCCTTGGAATCTGTTAATACAAGGGAAGAACTATTAATGTTAGGGAAGATGATTGTTGTCTTTAGATCCATCTGAAAACTTTTTAAAAGTCAGTAATAGAGTACTTACAAAACACAGAGACACAAGGCTCCTTCCATAGTCTCACTCTCTCTTATTAAATAACTCCCATTCCTTTTCTTGCTCAACAGCTCTTCACAGGCTTTTCTTGTTATCTTTCCATGGAAAAATGGGAGCTCCATGGGCAAAAGAAAACAAGGTGTCTTGCTTTCAAAGCAATTCCAGAGCAAGTCAGAAGCCTGCCATGAAAAGAAGGCTTATTCCAAAAGCAGCYTCCTGCAGACCCCTGAGGCTGGAGGTGCCAGGGACACGCAGGATTTCATCTGTGCTGTTTGCTGAGCTGTCCCCAGTGAGGTGAATTAGATCTACAGATTGACAGCTCGTGAGCTCTGTGGAGGCAGGAAAGGGCTGGTCTGCACTGGTCACAGTCCACATCTGAAAGGAAGACACTTTCGTCACATCATACCACCAGACTTTTGGGGTATGTATCACACCTCTGAGCTATGGAATGGCTAAGTTGGCGCTGAGGTACAATTATATTTTTTTAGTTAGCTTTTATGTTTAAAGTGGCCCAAAGCCCTGAAAATAGGGTCCTGTGCTTCAGGAATAAGAAGGACTCTATAGGRGAGGATAAACTTATCTAAAGGCATYCTTGTCTTTCTTCAGGTGGTTTTGAGAAGAGAAAATGAATGTTTGGGATGTTTTAATCAGCCTCAGTCATGAAGCTGTAGAAAGTGCCAGAAAAAAACTTGGCAATTCTCTGTTCATACAGAGGCTTAAACAAATTTCATCAAAATAAGCTGTAGAACGACACAAGATATTTMATAGGGGAACAGTGTGAGATGCAGGAACTGCTGTCATCTTGATCACAGAGTAAGAAAAACAACCTGTGAAAAAACCCAGGTAAATACTGACCAAACACTGTAAACAAGAACAGCCTTGTTGTATATGCAGCTGCTACTTCTGTGTTTTTTCTTTAACAAAAATCTTAGGTTACCATTTGTGTGTTTAACTGCAAGTTAATCATGCATGGCACTAAGCATTTCCAGATCCAGATGGCATCTTAGTTAGTTCAGGAATAAAGTACCTCTAAAAATGTACTGTTTTGTCTCAAAGAAATTTAGAGATTTTAGGAAAAAAAGGTACCACGAAGAGAGAAACCTAGAAATGGCAAGCCCAAGGTAATGCTATAGCTGAGGTCTGTGCTGCAGTGTCCACAGGTTACTGATAAAACAAGTCCTCATCCCCAAGAGGAACAGTGTATATACTTAGCTCCTCCAATTTTCATTTATCTGCAGACAGCTGAATTTGGAATGAGTCTTCTTTTATCCCCCAGTGGGATGTGGATAATGCTATTGGAGGGGAAATATCCTGGTCTTGTAACCATCCTTAAGAGCATGTGATTGTTACCAAATGCACTTGTATTTTCCTACAGGTTAAACATGTTTGTGGYTTTTTTTCTACACATCTTATAAATAAACAATTTCCATGAGGTATTGTGAGGTGAATGGCCTTTCCAGAAGCCCAACTCTCTGCTCAGCACTGTCCTGCTTCAGGCAGGTTCTCTCCTTGCATTGAAAGGTAGGGACATAGGAAACAACTGCAAATTCCTCTTTCAGGAAGGTAATAAAGAGATATTCTTCACAATTTTCCAAAATCATCTCATTACCTAGGTGCAGAAATAGAAGACAGTTGTTTCAATAGATCTTACACATCTGATTCTAGAAGTTACTTAAAGGGAAACCACATGCTGCCTGCTGATGGCTTAGTAGAGAGTTTTTCTGAAAAAAAAAAAAAAAACCTTGAGAAGGAAAAAGTGCTTGCAGAGAAATAGGGGCTGGGATCTCCTTCCAGCAGCAGTTACCATCCACTGGCCTGATCACCCTCTTCCTCAGTTGTCTCCACAGCTCCCTGAGAGCACTCAGGAATTGACATTGTCCTTTTACCTCACCTTACTTGTCTGCAATATTCAAATGGACCTGAGAATAGGAGCWTGATTTAAAAGCAGAAATYACAGAAATAGAGCAGAGAAAGGGGRAAAGGGGTCTGGGAAGRAGAAAGAAGAGAGAGGCCRTARGTACAGTCTGATCAGTCACTAAACCACAAGTATGATTCAGTGGCCAGGCACAGGAACTTCACACAGTGTTTCATATGCCCACATATATATATGCGTGTGTGTGTGTGTGTGTGTGTGTGTTTTTGAGGGCTAATCCAAGGTAAAAAAAACCCCACAGCTTCTGCCAAAACCACAAAGGACTTGCAGATCCCAGCCTGGGACACCTGCTGATGGATGCTGTGTAATCACCTGGAAGGAGGGGGGAGATTTCCTCAGYCACCACAGAGCTGTGCCATGCACCTCACCACAAATTGTAGCACACAGCACTGAAACTTTACTGTGTGGGTTGGGGTCACATCACAGTACATTTCCATGGGCAGAATGTAAACTCTGAGCAAACATTCCCTAATGCAAACATTTCTAGCTTAAATCTCACAAGTATTTTTGGCTTACACAAACCTGCATACCCAGGCTGCCTTCTCAGCTAAGTCTGGAGAGTGGTCAGAAAGACAAGCTGATGGTGTTACTCTGATTAAATGTGTGGTGAGAGGTCTGGGGAGCTGGAATGGCAGTGGTGTCCCAAGGCAGTGGGGCGTGGGTGGTTGAGGCAGTTGCACCAGACTGAGCCTCTGGGAATCTCAGCTAYACCAAACCAAGAGAGGCCTGATGCAAATCTGCTCTTAAAGTCATTTTACTCCACTCCAAAATAAGGCTGGGTTGCTTTTTATTCCTCATCTACTTAAGGAATATTWCACAGTTCCTAGTATAGCTGCCTGCAGTGATCATCCTTTCAGATGACAGAGAATGGGGAAAAAGCAGAGTTCTTTTTCCTGAGACACTGCCTCTTGGCCTGTTTCTACCATAGCATGGGGAAAAAARGGTAGAATATCACTTCCTAAAAATCTTATTTATGTCAAAACAATTGCATCCTTTAGTCAATCTCGTGTTTTCGGAACTTAATGCAATCACTTCCTTCAGTTTTTTTCCACAAGTAACCTTCTCTTGCAATTGTTTTCTTTACTTTTCTCTGACACCACTTTGTCTACTTCTTTAAAATTTGATACATATAAATGAGCAAAGCCTTTTGATTAGAAGAGCAGGTTAGTTAGCCACTCTTCCTTTCACAGAATAGCTGTTAGAGAAACAAGACCTGCAATATTTTGACAGCAGTGCCAAGCCCTGGGTTGGCCCTGTATCTAATTGCTTTTCTGCCGTTCCTCTGCCTTAGCTAATTTTTTTTTGTTTGTTTTGTTTTTTTTGTTGTTTTTTTTTTTTTTTTTTTTTTTTTTTTTTTTTTTTTTTTTTTTTTTTTTTTTTTTTTTTATCCCCTTCCTGTTTCTGTAGAGCTTAGGGCCATTTCATAGTGTCACCTCCTGTTAATAAGCACACTCGGGGCTCTGGTTCTGCAGCGTCTCCTGGCTGCTGCTCTAATACAGCAAAGCTCTTGACAGTGCCTCCTGTGAGAACAGGAAATCTGGGGAAAAGCTGGGCTGCTAGGCAACACCGAGGGTTAGACATTGTGAATCATCAGGCAGAGTGTGGGACATCAGGGCTAGAAAAAAAGCTGTGGTGGAAAGCAAAACCAATGTGCTTGAGCTGTTTGGAATAAAGCAAGAAACGGAAGGGTCATTTGTTACTGACCAGAAACAAAAATCAGCCCCAAAGTAACAAAACAGAAATAAGTTGAGTTCTGGATCTCCTGAAAATCTGAGTTCTCACTGAGCTGTGTTGTTGGGCAGTCACAGTCCTGTGGCTTGCTCTACAAACAGAAACAATAATGTTTTTGCAAGAAGAACTGTTGCAGCAGCAAATTATATTCCATTTTACAAAATTCACAACTGTAGCATATCTGCATCAGTCTGTACTTTTGCAATTTACWGTGCCTGGGTACAAAGGGTTTTTGGTTTTTTGTGGTATCTGTTGATGGCAAGATTTACTTGAGACTGAAAGAAAAATCATTATGATGTAAATTCAAGAAAAAAWTGAACTAGTGTGTCTATTACTTAGAGATTGCTGCTGTCTGTGAAACCCCAAGGCATCAGAGCTCTGCTCTAAGATTTCTAATAAAATATAAACCTAGGAGGAAAAGCCTGTTTTATAACTCTCATAACATACTGTCTATTTTTTAAAATATAAGTAAAATGAAAATGATAGTTCAAGCTCRTCTGTGCTAAAATTTGAATTAAAAACTCACAGAGATAAACAATTTTAAAAATGTTTTATATCTATAAGATACATGATTATGTGTAAGTCGTGGGATTTGGTCTTGAAATTACCTAGGGTTTTGCTTAAAAGTTTACTTACAGCATAGAGTCACAAAATAATTTCCTTCTCACTGGAAACCACATTGTCAGGGTTCAGAGTAATCCATATTCAATTGCTCCCTGAGCCTATAATAGTTGCAATTTTTGTATTTAGGTGTTATGACCTGCCGCTGAGGCAGGGTAACYGAGGCTGTTGTTRACAGATCCCTTGGGRTGAATTAGAGTGAATGACACTGAATGYATATAAGATGCATATTTATTTTAAAACAATTTAATTGCATCAGAAAGAAGGTATGCASCTGTTTTAGTTCTTTTCTACAAAAATATAAAAATATCATATCCTGAAAATTCAGCTTCTGAGACATCATTCACAGATACCACATAAATCAATTAATGAAATGCAGTAAGAAGTCAGTTAACATCATGATGCCCCCAAAATACTTCCTTCCTGCTAAGAAATGTTCAAATAAAGCTGTAGGAAGTGAGAAACCACATTTACACTTCATTATTCTATACCTCTGCTCCMTACTCCCATCAACTATAACTGCACTATAAAAGTTGGATCTTTTGTCTTAATATTTGACAAAACTCTGACCAGGATGTTCATCTAGAGTAATATTAACAGTTACATCATTTTACCCTCTGAATTTTCTCAGACTAATAGTTCTTTTTACCATTACTGATATTTTCCTAGATACTAACTTTCAGTGTKCTGTCTAGAGCACTGTGTACACAGCAACTACATCCTGCCACTTTGGAACAGTGCCATTGGTTTCTCACCTTTGCATAGTATTGTTGAAAACAACATTTCCCTCCCCCCTTGTAATTAGGTACTAACTAAAGTAAAGAGAAATAGGATGACAACACAAAAACTTCACAGCACTCTTGCATCACTTTCTAAACCACTTGAGTGCCAGCATTTAATTATTATCCTACAACTGCCAAACTCCTTTCACATAATCCTAYTCCTTTACTGGTGGTCTGGGCAACACCACAGAGAAGTGATCAGGCTCTCCA